CTGAATTGGAGGATTTTATGCCCTGATAAAGGGAGAGAGGAAGAGAAGGGGTTCCTGGCTGAAAGCGGGGATGGGGTAGGAGGAGAGAGGGTTTCTGAACTGGATGTTTTAATTAAACCTGAAGCTTCAAGTTCACCTTTTGTATAATAAAGGAAGTGGGATGATTCTAAGGGGCAGTGGTTATGGAAAAGGTCAAGGAAACAGTGTCATCCATGAAAGACATGACCAAGACCAATGAACATATGAGCTCAGAGACTGTGTCAGTACACAGTTGACCTGCACAGGTCCTGTTCAAGCAAGGTCCCAGCACTGAGAGTTGGTAGAGGACACAGGTTGCTACTCATTACCAGGATACTCTTTGCAATTGATACCTGTTGGCAAAAGAAAATTTAGCCTTCTACTGGTAGTATCACTGGGTGATGTGTGACTCCCCTCACCATGTTCTGAATACCATTGATTAATGAAAAAAGAAGCTGCTTTGGCCTGTGATAGGGCAAAATAGAGCTAGGCAAGAAAACTAAACTGAATGCTGGGAGAAAGAAGGCAGAGTCAAAGACACCATGTAGCTTCCAGAGGAGATGAGTGTCATGTGGCAATACACAGATTAATAAAAATGGGTTAATTTAAGATTTAAGAGGTAGACATCTAAGATATTGGAAAGCAGTGATTTAATAAATATAGTTTCTGTGATTATTTTGGGTCTGGGCAGCTAGGAACAAACAAGAAGGCTCCACCAACAAATTGATGCCAACATGGGTAACTACATCCACACAAAAACCTAAGAAAGCTTGAAAAGGAATTCTACACACACACACACACACACACATACACACACACACACACGTACACACACACAGATTTTAGCACAGTTTTTGGTAGCCACAATTTTTTCCTATGGCCTCACTGTGAGTAAGGGTGCTACTGCTCCATTAAGAGAGGTGTAGTAAAAATGTCTGGCTTCTTTAAAAACAATGTCTTCCTGGTTCACCAGCACAAATGGCTCTGACAATTTCAGGAGGCCTAGCTATGGAACATTTAAATGGGGTTTGTGAGCAGAGTACTACAACTTGCTTAACTGCAACATAGACCCACTGTGCCTGAAAATGGGACAATGGGCCTGTCATCTGCCATGTTTGACTGGACAGAGCCAACAGGCAACACTGCTTAGTATAAAAAAGATGCTCCTGGTCAAAAAATAATTAGAGATATGCAAGTAAAACAGATACACACAGAAATAAACCTCTAAAGGGGTAAGAGTGTATTTCATAAAATGTGTGTAGGCTTGAGAGAGAGAAGAAAAAGAGTATAGAGTTATAAATGAAAAGAAATAGTTTTAAAAATAAAACAAAATCTTTAAGAGACAGAGTACAGAGAATCATAGATTAAAGGAGTAAAGAAAAGCAAGCCATGTAAAGATGAAAAATACAGAGAGTATAGATTATGTATATTATTGTGTTTTTTTTTAAATTTTTGACTGTGAATGAGCTAAATACCAAGAGACATTTCATTGTACAGGTTACTCAGCTAAACCAACATATATATTTTAAAGGTATCTTGACTTCAAAATACAGTCTAAGAATATGTTGCTTTGAAAAAGAGGTTCTGCTTCTGTTTCCACAGAGGATGAGAACCTGTGGATTCCTTCCAGGCTAATGTGGTTTGATAGACCAAGACCCCAAAAGATCTCTGTAAACACCTAAAATTAATTCTCCCAACAAAAATTAGGAGGCAGTTTGGAGAGAACTACACTCAAATTTCCTAAATTATATATATATATATATATATATATATATATATATATATATA